CAAAGGTTCCGTGGTGATTTCTCAGGCATGCCTACTGCCCTGATCATTTCTAGGACTCCCTTTCCTGGGCCCTGATGGATTTGGGGAGCCACATAGACCATATCGATGTCAATGATTGGATATGGCTCTCTTTATGTTTTAAAAATACTGCCTTGCCCGGCTGGCGTGACCCAGTGGTTGATTGTAGACCTATGAACCAGGAAGTCATGGTTTGATTCCTGGTCAGGGCATACACCTGAGTTTCAAACTCGATCCTCAGTAGGGGGCATGCAGGAGGCAGGCAATCAGTAATTCTCTATCATCATTGATGTTTCTATCTCTCCCTCTCCCTTCCTCTCTGAAATCAATAAAAATACATTAAAAAAAATACTACCTAGTACTTATGATGTACTGTAACATGAATTCAACAATGTCATTCTATAAACCAACCTCTTGGGCTTTGTCATATTTATTTCATAAAATGTTTACATAAATCTATACACCTTTCAATATTTCTCTTGTTTCAACTTACTAAAGATATTACTTTAAGGTTATTGAAAAATTCCCAGTATTGACAATACTTCTATCTATACCCTAGGTATACTAAATGATCTACATTTTTCATTATAAAAATAATTCATGTTTGTAATATCTTTTAAAGAGTAAAAGCAAACAGACAAGTAGAAAGTAGCAATTATTAGTCTTTCTTTTTCACCACCCTCTTCCCGCTTAGAGGTTTCTTTCATAGCCTTCTACAAATTGGGCAAGTGCATGTCAGCTGCCCTTTTTATAGTGCTTGGCATAGCTACCCATACATCAAGGATCTACATGACTGAATCAACATATTAATTTCAGATTTCTTCCACATTCCTTTTACCATGTACATATAATGGCATCCATATAGCTTTAACAGAAAGAGGGAAACAAATAAAAATCATAGTAGACTTAAAAGGCGACTAACCTTTTTCCACCTCATTCAGATTAGCAGCTGGCAGCGACAAAGACAGAAGAGACAAAAGACTATTTACATTGCGATACAACAGCAGAGCACAGGAAGCTAGTGTATTTATAACAGAAGGGCCCAGAGTGAGCGGGCGGGCGAGGAGAAGTGAGGCTTGGATTCCTTACCTACAGCCAGCCAAGCACACAAACAGGGGGGACAAGAGGCGATAGGCAAACGCCATCACAGGGAGCCAGGGATCTGCGTCTCAACCAGGTCACTTAACCAGCCTCACTTTTTAACACGTGCACGTCATGGTTAGTGGTTGGGCATGGGAGGTTAGGAAAACAAAGAGATAAGGGTACAACGTGGAAAGATTAAAATGGTCTCAATGTTTTCCGCATCTTTACATGCCCAACTGGTATGGAAACGTTCGTGTACAGAATTTGGGTAATCCTGTAAAGTGACATCCTGGGTTACAGTGTGATCAATTGTGTGTCATCTTTGCATGTGGTTCCATGAAAGTAGGGTTGATTAAGAAACATAGTCTTGACAGAGCAGATCCAGGGTCTGACTCTCGGGAAACATGCAAAAACACATTTTCCAAGTCAACACCTAAATTCATACCAGAGTTTAAGACAGGGTGCCAAGTTCTCAACATGGCAGGGGTGCCATGTTTATAATTTTCATTTTTGTAAGTTTTGAGCTTATGTAATTGCAGGGATTCCTTGAAAATTCACCTTCAAGAAATGCCTTGGTTTTAGAAAGGATACAACAATGATTGTAAAAAATAAAAGAATAAAAAAACAATTTCTCAAGCTAAAATTAAAACCCTAGAGTAAATTTTAAAATTATTTGCTTATCAATTTCTGAGTCTGACTTGCTCCATTCTTGGTGTATTTTAATTTAAAATAATACTGAATCAAACTTTTCCAAAATTAACTATGCTCAATCCTTAGTGTAGTGGTTTCAATTTAGAATCATATGGGATTAAATTTTTCAAAAATTAACCTGTTTGAAGAATTAGCCATCAACAACCATCTATTATACAACTGGAACAGATAATGGACTGAATTAAGTAGGAAAGAACAGTTTTGATAACTGGGGGAGGGGGAGGGTATAATAAGTTTTAGATAATATAAAATCAATATTGACCCTTAAAATGTATGTTGTTAATCCCTGAAGCAGAAAAAAGCAGATAGTTTTGTCCTCTGATAAATCAATAGCTATTTACTATAATGTGCTGGTTACACAGGCTTAAATAAATTTAATAAACTTCCCAATGGTGGTTCATTTTATTTTTGATATTTGTAGTCGTGTTTTATAGCCTGCCCATCACATCGAGATTTCTCCATCAAACTGCTTTCAGATCTCTGCATTTTCTCCATTAGCAACAGTATGTCCAGTCTGACTCTTGCCACGGATGCCAAATGTAAAGCCTTCCCCCATAATAATTTATGAGCTTTTTCCATGAAGTTTTATTTGTTCCAACTAAAGAGTTCACGTTCCCATCCATGCCTTTGGGGCATCGAGTGAAAAATCTTCAAACAGAAAGCAACTTGTGACTTGAATGATTTTTAAACAATGACAACATTATTATATTCCCTGAGCATAGCAGGGTTTCTGTTCCCAGATCTCATGCTCATTAATCAGACTCCAAACTTACATCTAAAACAATACAGCCGCATTATACGAACATTCCTCCCTAACTGCGGACTTGGATGAAGCAGGGTATAAAACTCCGGAGCCCGATTTATATTTTCCTATAATTAAAGGCCACTATGTGCCACTAACTTCAAAATCTGCAGATGGTTGTTTGATATTTTGCAAATGAGCTCATCTCACATATGGACAAAAATGCTATAGTGAATAGATGAGCTACAAAAGGCCTCATTGAGATATTTGCTCTAATGCCAAGTCATCAAACTCTTTACTGCCCACAAGACTCAGCCCAAAGTCAGAGTGGTAATATCTCCATGCTATTAAGTTTCTATTGAGCTCAGTATTTTTGTTTATACTTTGCCAAAATTCAGGCAAACTGATATCTGTAATAGCTGTGCTTAAAAAGACTCAGCGAGTCTCAGGAGAACCAAACGGCTCTTGACAGATAGTCCTGGCAGATTCCCACGTGATAGCTTTAATAGATGTCACATTTTGGCGAAACAGTGGTTTTGCTAAGTTTTGGGTTTTTTCTTTTTATGTTTCAGAGAAACAGATCTGGCACAGAGAGATGAGGCTTCATAATATTTTTCAGAGGAAGCAGCACTGAACGGAGTCACTTTGGGCGGAGATAACATGTGGGCCAGAGGACCAGGTGTAGGGAGGGAGGTTGGAACATGGAGGTTGAGAAGATAAACAGACTCAAAAGAAACAGATAAAGAAGAAGGTACAGCAGATCTCAAGCCAAAGCAGGGGAACCCCTCCAAACCAACTCAGAAGAATCTGCCACCTTCTGTAATTGATCATGAAAAAAAAAATAGGCACGTGAGAATCCAAAGACCGCAGTGCTCTCAAGCCTGGGTTGTCAACACAAGGGGGATATTGACCAATTCCTGGTTGCTGGGCTCTGGATCTCATTAGCTGGCCAAGGTGCGTTTGAAGTGCTTTGGTCCAATTTCTCCTGGCCAGAGTATACTGGTTTAAAAAGGCCTCAAAGATTACGTGAATTAAACTCTTTCTGTGATGATGATAGAGCAATGGCAGAAAAAGAAAACGATTCTATCTAGGTAACAGATTTTAGTGCAGACATTGGGCTTTATATACAGGTCTGAATGAGACTATGCAATACAACTCAATTCTCAGGGGAGCCCCCAGGGCTTCAGTGCATGCCGAATACACTTGCTCTCCTTCACTAATTCAAAATATCAAAGAACACTCCAATTCTGCCCTCTAAGGAGCCCAAGGGCTACATATATGTAACAGAGAAATTGGTGGCTATAACATGTTCAATGTTCTACTGTAACTAAGTATATTACTTTATATGGCATTGGGTGCTTCACTGGTATAAAAAAAATCCAACCATGAGAAGGCAGCTTCAGAGGCACTCAGACAGATCTGGGTTGTCAAAACAACACCCTATTATTCTATCTCGCATTTTCCCATCAAGAAAGGTACTTAGTGAAATGCAGAGTTGGGGCATGCCATAAACGCTTAAATGTCCATGCTTTCCTAATAAATCCTGGGACAGTTAGTCATACGATGTGACTTCATCTTTCATGTTTGGAGATGCTGACCTTAGGCATCTACATAGTTACTTCACCCTCTGATATTAACTATGTATTACATCATGTGGAAATACATGCAGCTAATGAAACGTACTCAGCCAAATGAAAATGGTAACTTCAAAGAGAGTGACAGAATTTACTGCTCCACTTTTTCTTACAAGTGAAATGCATGACATTCTCTCAGTGGTTTATTAAGAAAACAAGATTGTAATTGTGACGTTTCTTCTTCATAGCCACAAAACTACATCAAAATAGATATTCTGACATAATAGCCACGTTATAAACTTGATGTTGACTTTACAGCCAATTGGCTTATCCAGGGAAGAAGTGAGGTAGGTTGAACAGTCTTATGAGATTTATCGTCTCAAGAAACAAAACGTCAGAAAGAAGGTGACAGTCTCATAAGATTATTCAAAGTGCTCAACATTTTTATATTTGTATTTTATTTTGAAGAACATGAGTTATTAGATGAAAGCACTCATTGGTGAAGAAGCAAGTATGGATACAATCTAAAATGCTTAATTATGTTTTGACTATATTAAAAAATGCCCCTTTTTACCTGTGTTGGTTAGCACAGGAAAAATGCTTTGCGTGTGATACCATTCAATTGTGAGACTAATAGGTTCAGTATGTAACTCCTGGTTTTGCTGGATAGCAATAACATGATAGATCACTGAGCTAGGCGGGTCTTTCATTGGGTTGGCTGAAACCATTGTTGACTCTGGCTGTTATTTACATTACCTCTAATTTCCCAAACACCTACCAGTTACTGAATAATGCAATGGTTTACTAAACACATGCAGCAAGATTCCCATGATGCATTCAGATACATGGACCGATGGCTGAGCACTTCCTACCTGTGTACTCAGGTGGGCAAAGGCATGTGTAGTTGTTAATCCCATCAACGCAAGTAGAATTATTTTCACAGTCATTATCCTCACAGTCATCAATATTGATTTCACAGTGTTCTCCTTCAAATCCATCAGCACAAATACACCTGAACACCAAAGGGGGGAAAAGTAAAAATAATGATAATAACAACTCTGCATTTAAAAAAACGTGTGGTCTACATATTGAAAGATACTAAATACACTTTTCAATTACAGAACTTTTAACTACAAAAAAATGATTTTTAAATGACATGTTGTAAGCATTCATTTAAGGTAATATCCTGCAAATCAGAAACAATTCGAAAAAAATGAATGCTGGCTGGAAATGGCCCTGTAAGTCAATAAATCCAATATATCTGCAGATCTACAACACAAGCAAAGTTTATTTTAATCTCAAGTTGTGCTCTAATAAAATAATCAATACTTCTTTGCTCACAAGTGACGAGGAACTGGTTCTGATTTTTTAAAAAATGACAACACCTACTACCTTATGTATAATGTTCTTGATGTCTCAAAACAAAACAAAAAGGGAATTTGAAAAACAAATTTTGTCTTCCTTGCAATTATAAAATGTGAATGTTCTCTTTATGTCTCAACAAATGCAATTTTTTTCCATTGGCATAAAACTCTGTACATTTTATCTTGCTAGATATCAGAATAATCTTTGAAAAACCTTGATGAAAAAGAGACATTTTCATAACAGAATGCAGAAATGAAGCCTATTTATTATAAAAAGTGATATTCCTAACAAGCTTTAGTAGTACATTAGCATTCTTATGCAAAATTATTAGTGTCATCATAAGAACTCTATTTCATAATTCATGAAGTACATTTGAGGTAATTGTACTGTATGATTAAATAATTCCAGATTAAAAATGTTCACAGCATGGTTGTGTTCTTATATTGGGGGTTGGAAATGAATCATTAATTTTCTGTTTCAGTGGGACCTACATCTTTTCATTACACACTGTCTTTAAAGCAATACACACAGCAACAAATGAATATATAACTTTCAGTAGGAGACTAGTTGGCTATTGATTAGCATAATGTAGCCACTCCATTGTCTTGATCTAATCTAACTTGATTAATCATAATGTGTGCATGTACATGTTTTACAATTTCTGGATTTTGTAGCTGCCTGAGCTGAAAATACTGAAACACCTCTATTTGTTTTTATGTTGCAATATCTTAGAGAGGGACTCACACATGTTGTTCTTGTGAATTGATTCCTGGCATTCATTTTAAAATAACGTTCCCAGATTTGAAAAGAAGAATGTGTGTTTTCTTAGTTATTCTTGCTCCAATACTTCAGACACAGATCACAGACTAATGAATGACCTACCAGAATCCATCTTTGTCACCTTCTTTTAAGTGGCAAGTTCCTCCATGTTTACATGGGTTACTGATACATGCATGAATTGGGACATCGCAGTCTTGCCCCTGGAGAAGGAATGGCCAAGCAGAGTTGGGTGTAAATAAAGTAGTTGTTAGCATAATAAAATAAGGTAGTTGACAGCACACTAAAATGAGGCAGGCCCAGCCATGAGAGCTAGGCTTTCAGATCATGGCTCCTATGACAGCTTCGACTCACCTTGAAACCATATGGACAGGTACAGCGATAAAAGTCAACTGGATCATTGTTACAGGTGCCATCATTTTTGCATGGATTTGATAAGCAAGGATTACACTTAGCTAAAATAGTCACATCCACAGGACCTAAAAAGTAAGTGAAAATTATGAGAAACTGGTGCTTTCTATTTTTAGATCACTTAGGATTATTTTAATGCTTTAATGTAACAGTATATTTTGTATAAAAGTTATCAGTCACATATCTGTATATAAGTCTCTTCCATGACAAAACCAGAAATCAGCATCATCATATTATGTGCAAGAATGCAACAGGAGGCCTTTTCATTGAGGGATGGTGAGACTCCCCAACATCAGAGTGGGACTCTGGGCTTTGATTTAGGTGGTTAGTACCTGATGTTAATCATGCTAATGTTACAGGGTCATCCCTTCACCAGGCAACTAGCTTCAGTAGTTGAGCTCCATGGCCACTGCCTGTATCTTAATTTCAGCCAGCTGCCATGGAAATACATGTCACCCATCCCAAAGAGGACTGTGTGTGTATCTGTGTGTGCATGTACATTGGGAGATGGGTGGGTGAGTTTTATGAATAAGTAAAAACTCATCAGTTAAAACATAAATTCCTCAACTAAACATGAAATATTATGCACCTGCCCTGATAACATTAGTTCAGTAGTATTATTTTTATACAGGAGATACAAAAAAACAAAAAAGCAAAAACACACCATGTTTATGCACATGGGAATAAACCAAACACACGATCTCCTTCTGTATCATCCTCACCCAGAAGGATTTCCCAATGAAACGATCTCTACTTGGTATCCCACTTTTTGGAAAATATATATTTTTAAAAAAACTCATGATCCCTAAAAAGTTTGGATTCAAAGCAGATTCAGTTGCAGCCCTTTTCCTTTGGTGGCACATATTTATCCCATAAATGGCTAACAGGGTAGAACTTGCACTGTCCTCACTTAAATTACCTTCCACCAATGCTGCTTTGCACTGGTGGTGAGACCTCACTAGATGGTCTCTTGGCAACTGTCAGATGAGGACATTCTATCAAGGTGAAATCTTTATATATAAAACTAGAGGCCTGATGCATGAAATTCGTGCAAGAGGCTCGGCCCTTGCAGCCCCGGCTCCATCTGGAAGCTCATCTGGATGGTTGTTCTGCTGTTTGGTCTAATTAGCATGTTAGCTCTTTATTATATAGGATACAAATATTTTAATCATGTCTCCGCTATCACTGGTCTCTCTAAAAGACTTTATCCTCATTGAAACAACAGCAACAATCTCAATCACATGTTTGATCACATGTCCTTTTTAGCAATGTTATTTGAGTGGATTGCACAGCATGCTCCCTTTTACTGTCACTGCTCTTACCTTCCAAGGAACCTCACCCCAAACAGTTGTATGGCTTCTGCTCATATAAAGTACCTTTCATCATATTTCTCTACCAATCAGAGTTCATGTTTGTGAGTTTTTAGTCTACCAACAAAAACTCATGTATGAAAGAGAATATGGGCATGAAAACTGCATATCTTTTTTTTTCTTTAAATATATCTTTATTGAGTTCAGGGAGAGGGAGAGAAACATCAATGACAAGAGAGAATCATTGATTGGCTGCTTCCTGCACACCTCCTACTAGGGATTGAACCTGCAACCTGGGCATGTGCCCTGACTTGGAATCGAACCATGACTTCCTGGTTCATGGGTCCATGCCCAACCATTGAGTCACACCAGCCAGGCAAAACTTCATATCTTAATAGCATTCTCTCACCCTAGGAAGTGCCAGCCAAGCACGTATAATGGTTTTTGAAGTAAAATAAAAAACAGAATAGTCCTCTGCATTATTCAACTTTTCTATTAATAAGAAGCTTGAAATATAGAGATTCCTCTTCCTATTTAACCATTTGAAATGCATGACAGATCTGGGGATGGTGGTGTTAACAGGAAGGGGTATTGCTCGCTTCTAGTGACACCTCAGCCATTAAGGGAGGCCTTGCCAATGGCCCCTTCACTTTTTCTTGGAAACCAGAATAACTAATGCAGCCTCTATATCAAATTGCAGCTGGGAAATTTCTGGGATTAACACTGAAGTGATCTTTATAGAAATTCAATTTCTCACCCCTCCCAACTTATTTATCAATTAAGGACAAAACTTTAGCTAGTCATTTAAAGCAGAAAGTTAAATTAATGAAATACTCCACAATAAATGACTTTGTATTTGCTAAAGTTATCACACTTAGAATCAGCGATAGGAAAGGAAACAGCTAACTGGTAATGGATTCCTTAGCTAGGCCAGAAGGAAAAAGAATCTAATCTTGAACAAAGGCATTGGATAAAGCAGCTAAGACTGCATCCGGCAAAACGGCATGTCAGCAAATGCTAGGACTGGACACGTTCGTCTGGCCACTTCCCAAGACCTTGAGAAAAATTGTCTTTTTGTCTATTTCTGTGCTTTCAACCTTGTAAGGCTGTGGTTGAATAGAGGAGTTCAGGGTTGACAGTTTCTAAGTTTATTTTATGGAATCTGACATTCTTAAAAATTATGTTTGATTATTTAAGTGAGACACTAAAGAGAGGAAAAACTGGATACGTGGATACATTTTGAAGAATTCAATAGAGTATGCAGGTGACAAAATTGCCAGGCTGACATAGTCCCTGTCGAGTTTAACACAAGGTCAAGATTCATTTAATAAATACCCACTGAACAGTATCGTATTAATACGTACAATATAAGTTCACTGCATTGGTTTCTGATATAGCTAATCCTGCTTAATTATTTTCTACCTGAAAATTCTTACTGGAATACAAGGGAGATCATTGTCCCCTAGTATATGTTCAGCTTAGCTAAAGGAATAAAAATAATCAGCTTTACCACATACACAGGCCTCTTCTGACACTTTCTTAAACCCATGAACTGTTTTGGTGACATCAAGGTGGGGAAAATAGCAAAACACTGAGTTCTAACTCTCTCAGGTTGGAAAGTTGCTACTATTTGCTTCTCCTTTTAAAAATACTTCTTTGAAAGTCAGCTCTTACTGATAATTTCTTATTTCTAGTACTCAAGTCTGAGTAAAGGGTAATTCAAAAGCTGTTTGTAACTTATATAAATTCCAAATAGCAGCATCCTCTGGTATGCCCAAATACTTTAACTTCCTTTCTACTTTATTTAGACTGGAATTCCACCTAACTAAACATCCTTCTTATGCTGTGACTTATACATTTACATGGTTTATCTAAACCTTATTTCTCTGTTCTAATCCCTTGGAACTACAGTTGACCCTTGAATGATTCAGGGGTCAGGGGCACTGAACCCAAAGCAGCTGAACATCTGCATGTAACTCTTGATTCCCCCAAAAGGTGTCTCTCAGTAACCATGGGGATTGTTCCAGAACCTCCAGTGGATGTCAAAATGCTCAGTCCCCTATATAAAATATGCGCAGGTCAATGAGCACAGTCTACCCTCAGACTCCCAATTGCAGACAGAAAGCACTACAGGTATTTACTGAAAAACACACACAACAACAACAAAACACACACAAAACAAAGAAACAAACAAAACAAAAAAACTCATGTATAAGTGGACCCTTGCAGCTCAAACTCATGTTTTTCAAGTGGCAACTATGCCTTGTATCTGGTTTTCTCCTCTCATTCATTTTCCTACCCATGTCTTGCTTCTTTTATAAGACCATCTTTTATCTCCTGTTTGTCTTCAATTTATGATTGATTTTCTGCCCAGGACACTTTCTAGGAGATCCTCTCCTGTAAAGCTCTTATTCAAGGGGAATGACATCTTTAATCTGCTTCCATAATAAGATGGTATCAAAGTTAAAGGAAGGCGCTAAAAAAAGTCATAATGAAATAGTGAAGAATTTGCACAGCTCTCTAGAAGCAAACCAACACTTGCAGGATTTTACAAATTTGATTAGTCTCAGGTGAAAAGAAGGGGCCCAAGGAACAGGAAATAGAAAAGCCTTTTAGCATAACGCATAGTAACGGACAGAAAATCGGAAGTCTATCAACCCAAGTTAGTAACCTAAATTTGTCTCTTAAACGTGTAAAGTTAGAATGTTGGCAGCCATTACAATGGGTGGTTTTCAGCATTAAATGAGATGCTAATGAAAGTTTGAGTACACACTACAGTGAGAGCCAGCACAGAAGCCTCAGTGAGTTCTGACCCTCCTCCCCAGACTCCAAATAATTGGGTGATGGGGGGGACATGTGTGGTTTACTGAAAAGGAGACACACAGTCTTCCTCTGCTTGTTTACCAAAATTTAACACAGACACTGGAAAATTAGAGCTTGCCATTCATTCATTCATCACAAGTTCACTGAGTACCTTTTGTCTATGTCAGGAGCTGCTCAAATTTGGACAAACTGTAAGGGCTATTATTATCAAAACCCTGGGGGAATGGAAGTGGGTGCCAAGAGATAATTATTCATTGAACAACAACACTCAGAGTTGATAATTTTACATTTTTAAGACTGCAAGTTTGATTTGTAAATTCGGTATGGACAGCCACCAGAAATAACAGTGCAACACAGAAAAAGGAGAGGTTCTCTTTAAGGAATGACAGCTTGCTGCAATATAACTTTGCAATTTTCATTCTTTCCTTGTTCCCAAAGTTAACTGGTTACAGGAATTGTTAAGCCCTAAATGGTTTGGCTCAGTGGATAGAGCGTCGACCTGCGGACTCAAGGATCCCGGGTTCGATTCCGGTCAAGGGTATGTACCTTGGTTGCGGGCACATACCCAGTAGGGAGTGTGCAGAAGGCAGCTGATCAATGTTTCTCTCTCATCGATGTCTAATTCTCTATCCCTCTCCCTTCACCTCTGTAAAATATCAATAAAATATATATATTTTTAAAAATTGTTAAATTAGTTCCAAAACATTAGCCCTCTTAATATGTGTGTTATAGAGGAGAAAACAAATCTAGCTCCAAGGATACAGGATTTACTAATGTCACTGAAATGAAAGAGGCTAGTCTAAGGACTGATTTAAGACTTGGACTTGATTTAAGAGAGCCTTCCAGCATCAGCTATCTGGACTGGAGGTGTGTTTAGCTTAATAATTCAAAGGGAAATGAAAAGAAAGTTTGGTTAACAATTTGTCTTTGTCAGT